GGGCGGAACCGAGACATGACCGGGCGGGGGGGCGAGGAAAATGAGCGCCGCGCATACTTTCCTCCGAGACGCCGGTTGCGGTCCCCGGCTGGCCGGCCGGGGCGGCATACCTCCCATCGGGCGCCCGAGAGGCGATCGACATTCCCCCCGGCCCGGGCCAGCTCCCAGGCGCGGCGCCCCTCGCGACAGTCCCCCCCCCCCCCCCGGGAGGATGGGCGGCGTCCGAGGGGGGTAACGCGCCGGGCGCGGCCTCTCGACGTGCTAAAGCCGCCTTGTCGCCCCTGGCCCCCCCCGGTGTGCGCCGCCCTCGGGGCCGCCAGGCCGGCGGCCTTGAGGAGGCCGAAGAAAAAAAACACCCGGAAATCCACGCCGCCAGAGCGCGCACAAACACAGTGGAGAATGCGAGAAGGAGGTGGAATTCGCGCCCCCCCTGCGAGCCAGCTCGCGCCGCCCGGGCCCCGCCAGCCCGAGCCCGCGGCGAGACGAGGCTGCGGATGGCGCCGGCAGGCGCGGCAATTTTCCCCCCTGACCAATCAGCGAAGAGCGAGGCTGGAGAGACATTGCGCCCTGGCGTGTGTGCCCCCGGCCGCCGGTGCCCCCCCCCCCCGCCGGGGGGCGCCCCTCGCGGCCCCTCCCGGGGCACGTTTGCGGGCGCCCCACCCCCGGCCCCGGCGATCGAACCCGGCGACTGGGCCGTTTGCGCGGCGTCTGCACCAGCGTGTGTAGGTGCGCCTTCGCGCCCGCCCCCGCACCAGGGCAGCCCGCCGGCAGGGACAAGCGCGCACGCCGTTTGCCCGGAGGCCGGCCGCCGCCTCCCCACCCGAAATCCGATCCCAACCCCCCCTCCCCCGGCCCCCCTGCCGCTCATCGGAGGCGGGTGTGGACGGCTCCGCGCATCTACACTCAGGGGAAAACGCCGGCCCAAGATGCCCCCTCCCTGGGCGAGCCATAATTATTGTTTTTTATTATTTCGCCCGAACATATCCCCCTTGTGCCTCGTCACCAGCTGCTCGCCGCCCGTTCACCGTGCCCACTGGGGGAGGGGGGGGGGGGGGGGCACGGCGAGGACCGGCCAGCCAGGATGTTTCAGAGGCCGGCCAGCGCGCTGCCCGACCCCATGAGCCCTTCCCGGGGCCCCTCCCGGCAGGAGCGAGGGTGCGCGAAGACCGGAAGGCGGGCGAAGGCCCCCCCGAAGGGGGCCCCTCCCTCTCTCACGCCCTTGCCTTGCTCATTTCTCTTCCTTTGTCCGTCTGTTCGTCTGTCTGTCCGCCTGTCCGCCTGTCCTTCTGTCTTTTTCGGGCCATTGTCATTACATGTCAAAGACGCATGCTGAGGCCGCGCCCTCGGCGGCGCCTGATGTTCCGACGGCCGGGAGGACGTGCGGCACGGCTCAACTCGCCTTTTCTCTCCCACCTTCTTCGCCCCCGCGCCGCCGCTTGGCAGACAGGCCCGGCGGCCCAACGACCGGCCACGCTCCCCCCCCCCCCCCCCTCCGGCCCGGGCCGCCCCCCCCCCCCCCCCCCCCCCGGCACACGCCCTGCGTCGTGCCCCACCAAGAGGCCCATTGCAGAGCCCCTTTTAGGGGCCGCTATTTCTGCCGCCCGCTCCAATCACCGGGCGCCGGCCTGGCGCTGCGGACGCACGCCCCCCCCCCTCCCCCTCGCCCCCCCCCCCGGGGGAGGATGAGGGAAGAATGAGCCAAATGAAAATCGCATGGGGTTGGTGCCACGATTTTTGATAACCATCGGAGCCCGGCCCCGCTCACCTGGCCGATGCCGCCGCCACGCAAGCACGCC